GGGAGCAGCCAGCCAGGGCAGAGGGGAAAGTCTGGAGCAAGAAGAACCAAATACCACAGTTGTCAGGGGTTATTTTAGAGGAGAGGCGTAGGGCCCCCCCGTGTCTGGCTGCACAGCCCATCCCTCCAGGACAGGCCCCGGCGGCTCTCAGGGGACAAGGACCTGGAGACTCTGGCTCAGCCTTGACCTGGGCCTCGCCAGCTGGACACCTTAAATAAATCATCTGACCTCTCTGTTGAGTCTGTTCTCAATTCCTAAAGTGGATCGTTTAACCCCCCAGCTGGGAGATGTGGTGAAGATTAACGAGGTAAATCAATGTAAGCAAGCTCTATAAACAGTGCGATGTTCTGTCCTGTCAGCTGGGGATTTTATGTTCACACTGATGTCAGAGGGACCCCAGAAAGAGATAAATGTTACTTTCTGTGTCCTTCTCTCAAGGGAGAAGGTGAAATAGGATGGATAAATTCTGATTCTGAAAGAAAGCAAACTCCCTGAAACCTTCTCTCTTTCTTCTTTTGGTTGCTGACAATTGTAATAGAATACCAGGAGGCAGATTGGAAAGAAAGAGACAGAAAAAGCAAGTTGGGACCAGATTGTCAAGGGCTGTGTGTCCCACCCAGGGAATTCAGACTTACGTATTTGTATGCTTAACGCCATACCTCGAAAAGTTTTAAAATATAAAAATACCAGGAAAAAAAAAAGAAATCAGATCCTATCCAGATTGGAACACAGCATCCAAATTAGAGAGGAGAAACACCACGTAGGTCCTCAAGCACTTCTAGAGTGAAGTACAACTTCCAAGACGCTGAATCCAAATCCAAAGGAAATGTCAGGGCAGTCAGGCTACTTCCGTTGTCCTTGAGGCCCAAACAGCAGTTCTCACGACCAGCAAAAATCTGATATTTGGCAGCGTGAATGTCCTCGTGTAGGACTTTATAAATGGTGTTTAGTGTTGTCAACACTGTCCTCACTCTAACTGCAACCCTCATTTTTCCAGATGTTTCCTAGAGGCCCTTCCCTACTTGATTTTCCCAGCAGATATCACCTGGTTTGCTGCTTGCTCCTTCAATGGTTCATGGTCAGTCACCCACACTACCCTGTAGCCCCCCGAGGGAGAGCTGTTCCCTTCTGAGTCCTCCATTCCTAGTACGCAGCCTCGTGAGTGCTCAGTAAGTATCTGTTGCTGGGTGTGTAGATGGAGAAGAGAAGGATCCCTCATTTATTTTCACGAGCGGTATATTCGGGGTGCAAATACATCCTGAATTGGTCTCGCCTAGAACTTCTCAAGGCAGGCTATGCCCTGCCAGTCTCATGAATGCCCTCGTGGGAAATGTGGCTTCAAGCTCTGGAGAAAAATTGAGATTCTGCACTGGGTTTAGAAATTCATCTCTGAGGGTCATTTTTCATTTCACTTGAATAATTGTTTTACATAGAAATATACAATTATTTGGCAAGGAAGTAGCTTTCTGTAATTTAGCTAAGCTGCTCACTTTAAGTGGATCATTTTGTCTTTAGGCTGTTAAGTTAATTGGGCCTAGATTAGTGCTATCATAGGCGGGGATTAAGCTTTTCAAGGTTGATATAACAGTTTGCAGCTCTCCGTGATTAACACAGTTTTTCACAAAAATATGAGAACAAACCTAGTTTCCTAATTAATATTCATTGTGTCTGACAAGGCAACAGTCTTGAAACTATGAACAGCCCTTCTATTATAGGAACTCTTCATTCTTAGAAAATAGACTAACTATATGTGACGTGATATAGAATATATCAGGATTTAACTAAAATTTTATGGTTATGTATACGTTTGTTAATCTTCTTTGTCCATCAGTCCAAGTTTTAAGAATCATTTCAGTGTTTTGCTGGGTCAAACTGTTTTAACAGTTTCTCAAAGTTTCTTTGAGGTCCCTGCTCACCACTAAACAAACACGAATGTGTGGCTTCTGTCTGAGATTTAAATTCAAACAAAGCTGAAACTCAAAGATATTTGATTTGGAGCTTTTAATCATTTATTTTTGTGAGCGGCATGTTTTCCATGGAACTCACCAGAAGAATTATATGCAAAATGTATTTCCCAAATAAGCAAAGACATTTATCTGCAATGTGGAGCATCTGGATAGAAACCAAGTATATTTTAGAGGACAGCTGCCAAAAATAATGACATGCAGTGATTTATGGTGGTGCTGAGACCCCGCTTGGAACTGTGTGCTGTGTTTCCAATTCCAACGGCTCACTCACAAATCAGTAGACACACCAAGGGCTCCAGACATGTCTCCTGCAAATGGCAAAGCTGGACCCAGCTGCATGTTTGAGCGAGGACAAACTTTTCCTTTGAAGGCAGTTCTAGCAAAGGAGTTTCTTACTCAGAAGGCTACCTTCCTAGTAGCTGCAAGTCTGTGCAAATACACCCCAAAGAGGGAAACCCTACGCCAGGAAGGACCAGACAAGAAGTCAAGCTATTGCTAGAAGGCAGACGGAATTTCCATCCCACAAAGATGCGCGAGGGAGGCTAGAAATAGAAGACAGAAAACTTAGCTCCAACTTAAGAAGGAAAGCTGTTGCTTTTATTCCAATTTCACTGGTTTCTAAAATCAAATTGAAGAATGTATTCTTAAACTAAAAAAGATTTGATGATGCAGATTATGAAGGTTTGTCCTATTTCCTTAACCAAAACACTCTGAATTAATGCCAGGAACACACCACTGTAAAACCTGACAGCTTTCTGGAGCTCACATCCTGGTCCTGTTTGGTATTCTGGCCTCTTGGCTGGCGGCTGAGGCCAGAGGTCAGGGGCCTCCCCCTGTGGTGTATTAACTGTGGTCTCCTGAGTGAGGACACTTGTCTCTTGGTTGCAAAGCAGGTGGGCTGGAAGGCACTGGAATCTAACTACTGAGAAGAAACCCCTGTAGAGCAGTTTTGCACAATGACCTCTGTGTGATCCTTCCAGGAATCCGAGTTTGAGTCCGCACTAGGAACAGTCGAACATTCAGTTCACACATCGATAAGTTAAAGATAAAAATAGATCATTTTTAAGGTACAAAGGAGCTGTTTTTTCCTAGAAGCTGAACAAGCCTTGTTGGTGGTAAATTCTACAAACCTCCCTTTGAAGCTGTATTTTTCTGAGCCTCCAGTGTGACCCTGAGGACGTGGAGAAGGGAAAGCAGCTTTGTCCTTGTTTGTGAGTGATGTGCACTTTTGGGGAGGTTGGGACTCTTGTTTTATCGGGAAAACCCAAGAGAATCAGCTCATCTGTCATGAAAACTCATCTGTCTCATGTGTGATGACCGGGAACCTAAGTCTAGCATTTTCTATGTCAGTCGTGATCACTGGCACATGGGATGGGGTCACAAGAAGGGACGAGGTTGTGTCTCAATAACAGCAGCTGCAAGCAACCTAAATATGCAGACATTGATTTATCCGGAAGGGCCACAAAAGATGAAACTAGATAGACAAAAAAATCATTGAAGAGAACAAGGACAAGCCCCTCCTCTTTTAGGAGGAAGTGAGGTGTGTGTTGTGCTGGGGGTGGGGTACAGATTGAGGTTCCCAAGTTAAGAAGGGGTGAGTCCCTCTCTAAATTAGGGCCAGGAGGCTGGGGTGGGGAGAGCAGGGCAGGGCAGACAGGAGTGGCTGTGGGCAGGGGCTCGGGACATGGAGACTTATTTTATTTTAAATTGTATTATTTTTATGGAGGTAAAAATGGTTCACACCACACCCATCACCAGAAACACCCATAATCCTCGACCATCTTCCCTTGAGGACTCAAAGGTTTAAGGCCCTGCCTGAGGTGAGGGGCGGGAGGAGCTGGGAAAGCTGTTGTCTGCTTTGCTTCGATGTTGTCAGCAGTCAGGTTTGCTGATTCCTCTCTCCTTAGCCTCTACCCCTCTGCTCTTTGTGGAAGAATCCCGTAGCCACCCTGCTGCCCACAGGCTTTGCATCCAGATCTGTTTCCTTTAGACACGTCACTACCCTCTGGCTGCATTCAGAAGTGCTCAGTTCTGTTGGGATTTCACAGCTGTCTCAGGAAGGGAGCTGCTGGCCAAACAGCCTCAGGGTTGGGGGTGGGGGTGGGTTGTGGTCTTCTACTAGTTTAATATGCTAAACCCAGGCCATGGTCATTTGACTCCCCAACTTCCTCTCCCTGTGTACCAGGGCATGTGTGTGGCCATCTACTGGGGCTCATTTTATTTTTTTCTAATAAGTTTTTATTTTTTTTAAGATTTATTTATTTATGCATACAAGAACTGGGGTGCAGGCCAGAGGTACGAGGTAAGGGGGTACGAGGATTCACCGGAGACAGAGTGGGATGCAGAACAGGTGGATCTACTGAAATACACTGCTGAGGGAAGCAGGGGGGAGTCAGGAGAGGTCTGCTGCACCATGTGGGTCAGCTCCCTGGCCGGGGATTGAACTCCTACCACAGTGGCTGCCAGTAGCTTCATAGCACTGAGACTTAACCCCTTGCGCCACCAGGAAGGTCCTAGAGCTCATTTAGAGAGGAACTCAGTAGCCTTTCAGGGTGATCCCGGCAGACCATGTTTCTGCCATGAGCTCACTCTGTGCTGAGGGATGTTGGTTGGTTGATTGGGGTGACACCCAATTCAAGGGGGGTAGTGGAGTGTATCTGCTCTAGCAAAAAGTCCATTTCCATGTCAGGCCAGCAGAACTTCATTTTTTGCTTAAAATGAAGTTATTCTTCCCTGTGTTAGGAAGATTAAAATGGTTGAGATAAATATGAAAAATGAAAAAAAAGCGATAAAATAAATGTTTGAAATTAGTTAACAGGACACGCGAACCTTCCATGCCACAGAAACACTTGATGTTGGAAATTAAGCTGTAAAGAAATCCTACTTCTCTGAAAACCATCACTGCAATCAGGTCACACACGCTGTGATTCGGATCCTCCGTGTTGGTGTCACTCTGAAAAGAAGGGGTGCATTTGAACTTGAGTTTCACATTTGGAAGGACTCGCGTGACACACCTGGCTGTTTGTGTTTTAGGCCACTTTTTCCTGTGCCTGCGAGGACCCGTATGTGGGGACCTTCTGCGAGGAGTTTGACGCCTGCCAGAGCAAGCCCTGCCAGAACAACGCCAGCTGCGGCGACGCCAGCGAGAAGCTGGACGGAAGCAATTTCACCTGCACCTGCCTGCCTGGTATGGTTTCTGGGGTTCCCCTCTCTCTGTGGGACACGCATGCACTGAGGCACCCAGGACGGTGAACATGCTCTCTCCAGCTCCTGGACAAGGGGCTTGACGATCTCAATTGATTCTCACAGTCCCTCTCCCTATAATTGGGAATGACAGTTCACGAGGGCTTGAACATCGGGGTCCTGACTTTCTGGGGTGCTTCTGTCTTAACAGTCCACCATTTTTCCACTGGGATGATTATAGTCTTAGTCTAAGAGAGCCCTGGATGTTTCAAAGAACAAACGAGTGAATGTGTACTTGAGTATGGACTGAGGCTATAGTGGCTGATTATGCTAAGTAACTTCAGAAAATTGCAGACTTGAGTGGTTATGTAACTACCTAATCCTCCCATTAATGTGAATTTCTCTGCTCATATGTGTTCAAAGCCCAAGTTCATGGTGGACAGTTCTCCACAATGAGGCGAGTCTTTACTATTTATTCCTTGGTTATTACGGGGTATTTGTGGATATTACAGGAGACTTCCAAATGCTTGCAGCATGAGTGACTCGGGAGGGCAGTAGAGTGTATCCGCAGACTTCTGAGCTCTGGCCAGCCCTTAATTGACTTACTGCTTGGCCAACTATAGGATAAAACTCTTAAGAAGCCAGGAATGGCATGTTACCAGTGAGCATTTTCATACAATTTTTTTGGATACAGCTTAAAAGAAAACACCAAATTACTGTTTTTTTTTTTTTAAAGACTCATTTATTTATGCATACAAGAACTGGGGTACAGGCCAGAGGTGTGGAGGGTGAGAGGATTCACCAGAGACAGTGGGGAGCAGAACAGGAGGACTGACTAAAACACACTATTGAGGGGAACAGCGGGCGAGACAGGAAAGGTCTGCTGCGCCATGTGGGTTGCTCCCTGGCTGGGGATCGAACTCATGTTGCAGTCTTAACCCCTTGCGTCACCAGGGAGGCCCCACTTCTCTTTTCTTATTATGAAATAATGTGCAAAACTGACATCATCTTTCCTTTCCCATCCCATCCTGTGGCCACTTTGCCACTGGGTGGGGATTCAGCATGAGGCAGGAGATGGGGCTGGAGAGGGAGGGAGTGAGGGGGAAGTTGGGGTGATCGGGTGCTCATTGGAAGAACCAAGACCCAACATTAGATGATTCAATACTTGCATGCTTTTAAAAAATGATTCCAGTATGCGCTTTGCTCTGTAACTTGCTCTTTTCAGTGTGTATTTCCTAGTCACAGACATCTTTCCATGCCAGCACATTTCATAAGGTATATTGCATTTTGTTCGATGCCAGTTTCATAGTGTGCCTCCTAAATTTCTGTCTCTAGGTCAGACTGCTCTTGGCATCTCCATTTCCCTGTCTCAGGTCACCTTGAGCTCAGTCCTTTCCAAACTGGGCTCACATGTCCCAGCCCACACCACTCAGCTTCTCCCAGCCAGGCAGCTCCTAGTCTCTGGGGGCTTCCCTCTCCCTCTGTCCACATCAGTCTTACCCCCAAGTGTTTTCCATTTTACCACGAGAAGACTTCTCGGCTCCCCCACCCTCTCTGCAGCCCACTACCAGCCCCAGGCTGGCTGCCTCTGGCCCTGTCTGCACGACTGAGAGAATCTCCCACTGCTTCTCTGTCCACCTTGACCTTGCTGCCCCCTGCAGTCACCTTGCCAAAGTGAGCACAGCCTTTCATCAGGTCAGTCTTCTGTCCCCTCCACCCTCCATGGGTTGCGGTGATCATTTCCCAGGGCCCCCTGGTATAGTCACTCTCCTACTTAAAGCCCTTCTTTCCATTGCTGTTGGGCTGAAGACCGACACCCCCAGACTCCTTCTCCCCCACACCTGTCTCTCCTCACTGTTCCAGCACCACCTCACCCCGCTGTCTGCCTGCTCTGGGTCCAGCCACCTTGGGCTTGCATTGACCTCACAGCCTGAGCACCCTCTGTCCTGGGACTCACCTTTGTGCCTGGACAGCTCTTCCTGCTGCCTCCATTTTGCCTGGTCCCTGACCCGGTTCCTGTTTTAACCCATGCCCCTTTCTTCAGGAAGCCCTGCTGGGCCTCGCTCCCATTTTCTCTTTTGTAGCTGCGATCCCTTTCCCTCATCCTCGGCCTGTGTTTACTCTGTGGTTCTTGATTACCTCCTGTCTCCCCTGCCTGCGTGAGCCCTGCTTGGGTGTTGCTCATTAGCGTCTAATAAACCCCGGATGCAGTGTGCTTATGAATTGAATGAATGAAGGGGGGTGAAGGTGGCCTCAGGTTGAAATTATTCCTCCTTTGATAGATCTCTAAGATGTTTTCAATTTCTCTTTGATAAATAATGTCAGGATGAGTCAAGATCCTTCTACAAATAGTCTCAATCAGAGCTGGGAGGTGGAACTTGTCACTATCTGGACTGAAGTGATTTTAGTTTGATATTTTATATGGATCGGTTCTCAAAGGGGATTGCTTCACTTTTTATAAAAACTAGTTTAAACCTATTTTTCTTTTGGAAATGTCTTTAACTTTTAACTTTTATTTATTTCTTTTTTTTGGAAGATTTATTTATTTATGCATACAAGAGCTGGGGTACAGGCCAGAGATGCGGGGGGTGAGAGGACTAACCAGAGACAGAGTGGGGAACAGAACAGGCAGATCGATTGAAATACACTGCTGAGGGGAGCTGTGGGGAGACAGGAGAGGTCTGCCTCACCATGTGGGTTTCTCCCTGGCCAGGGATCAAACTCATGCTGCAGAGGCTGTGGCTTGCTTCACAGAGCGGTGCTTAACCCCTTGCGCCACCAGGGAGGCCAACTTTTATTTATTTTTCTTGGGGTAGCATGGATTTACAACGTTGTATGCGATTCCAAGATGTAGGGCCACATCTCAGATCCATCACCCCTTGTGCACAGGATGGAGCACCCCCAGTGCTGTGTGTGACACTCTGTCCTCACGCCCACAGCTTGCTTTCATGCATTTACTTGGCTACTTTAATACAGTAACGATGCCTGCCAAGACCCTTCCCAACACAGAAGTTATAACTGATCATGGACTCGGGTCACCCCACGCACCCCTGACCTCTCCTCCCACCCAGAGACAACGGTCACTCGGAATGTCACGTTTATCAGTCCTTTGTCTTCCTTTCTATATGGTTTTAATGATTACATGTTTCTAAAAAGCATTATTTTAAGTTTTAATTGTTTACACCTTTATAAAAGCAGGAGCACGCACGTGACTCTTGGGGCTTACTGCTCCCTCACTGGGCCCCGCTGCGTCGCTGGTCGCTGGGTTTCCTGCTTTGGGGCTGTTGCAGTCAGCTGCATTCATCTGTGCCCCGCGGCCCAGCACGAGAGGCACCTACGTGTGTGTCTTCTGTCGCCCACGTGTTCGAGGTGGCTTTAGGGCTACCTAGGGGTGGACTTGGGAGAATATAAAATTTAAAATGTTCCAATTTTCAAAGAATAATACCCCATTTTATTTTCCATATAGATACCTGTGTATTGGGTTGTCGGAAAAGCCATTTTTGCAAAGAAAACAGAAAAAAATACATCATGGTTTTTCCAACAACCTGATACAAAGGTTACAATTTAAACAACTTTAAAAAAAACAGGGTAAGACACCTCCACCCACATTCACTATCTTGTCCGAGCTTCCTGCAGAAAGGCATGGCTGGTGTGGAGTCGTCCAGCTGTGAGACAGCCCTCCACGGACAAGAAGCTCCTTCCTGTTGAGTAGAATTTAAAGCAGTGACGAAACAACAATGGCCATTTGAAATCTGTTGTGCTCGCTGGAGCTTGCCACGCTCTTGCATCCTTCTGACTGTCTACATTAGCCAAAGGTGGCCTCGGATTAGCTGGGCCTCTCAGGCCTCCTGCCTATCTCAGGGTTTGCCTGACTCCCAGTGGCCTTCACAGAGCTGGGTCCACGGGATTCCCTCCCTGTGACTTCTGTTCCTCCTCAGGCTCTGGAGCGAATCTTAGTCAGAGGCAGAGAGATGTGGGAACTGTCACTCCGGGGCCCTAACTTTCTCTGTGCCCAGAGACTTGCTCTGACTTATTCCTGCTGGCTCTGCTTTGTCACTGTCCCTGTGGGACAGCTCCCCACCTCCTTCTGGTATCTAGTCCTACCTCTCAGTGAGATTTTTACTGTAGTTAATGCACATACAGAGACATATAACACACACACAGACACACACTGATACACACTGATACAGACACACAGGCACACACTGACACATAGACAGACACACATACACACACACACACACACAGAGCTAATGTTTATAGAATGTTTATCATGTGCCAGAACTGTGCTGAGTGCTTTCTAAGGGTATTCTAGAACAGTCTCTGAGTTAAGCACTCTTCATTATACCGGTTTTGTAGACAAGGAAACAAAGGCACAAGGGAATTTTGTAATTTGGCCAAGAATATCAGCACGGGCCATGCTGGACTCTGCTGCAGTGACACATGGACCCAGACCTCTGTGGCTTCCAAGAATGGTTGATTCTATTGGGTCATGAGAAGACACCTACCCGCAGGGACCCAGGTCCCTTCACATTGTGAAGAGAGGCACCCACAGCTGCTGCAGAAGAAAGGGGGAGCTGCAGGGTCTTGTGTGAGGTGCTGAGGACAGAGCTTGGGAGGCCCACTATCACTTCCACCACAGCCATTTGCCAGAATCCAGTCACGGTCCCTAGAGACTCTGACTTGGGGACAGTGTGGTGGGCGCCCTTCTGGTCTCTGTCATGCCAGGAGAAGCAGCCAGCAATGGGTGGGCTTTGAAACTGCCCACAAGGCCTAGGATCCAGTCACTCACTCAGCTGTCTTCCTGTGCGTGCAGCCACACAGCCGGCCCTGGGGTGACTGTCATTGCAGGCAGTGTTGATCTTTCAACTTTCTCACATCAAATAGGCATCTTTAAAAAAAAAAAAAAGATTTATTTATTTATGCATACAAGAGCTGGGGTTTAGGCCAGAGATGCAGGGGGTGGGAGGATTTAACAGAGACAGAGTTGGGAGTTGTTCTGGG